TATGTATGTATGTATGTATGTATGTATGTATGTATGTATGTATGTATTGGGGGAGTGGTGGCGCAGAGGTTAGAGAGGTGGGCCTGTGATCCGAAGATCGCGGGTTCACGCCCCGGCCCCGATAACATCAAAATTGTGGGTGGGGTAGGTGAAGCACCCACACTTGCCCCCATCCTCATTCGCCCCACTCTGGACCCATGAGCAAGGCCCTTAACTCCCATCTGCTCCCTAAACAGGTCTCTCTTGAAAATGAGTTCTCGTGGCTCAATGAGACTACCTGTATAAATAAAGGCTAAATGGATGGTTGGATGAATGGATGGATGGATGGATGGACAGGCTATTACAGTACTGTATTTGATTACAGAGTGAGAATTCCACTTATTCCACATAAATTGATTTATCATGATGTCAAATTTTTTTAATTAGCCCAATTTTTTATAACAGTTTAAGTTTAAACAACCTATAAACGACAGTTCTCTCTTGTAAATGAGTCCCCGAGGCTCAGTGAGACTAACCTGTATAAATAAAGGTTGAATGAATGAACAATGGAAGCAATCACTAAATATTAATGAAAATTAGTTAAAAAATAAACATCAGCACTTAAAATCCAATAATTTTTTTATGCACTCATGTAACTTCAAATGGTAATAGTGCTTTGATTCAAAGAGATGTGTTTGTTTTTGTGATTTAAATCCATATTAAAGTCAAAGGTCAGTTCCTGTTAGTGCTGCAGCAACTTATAAACTTATAAATAAAATGCAAAGTAAATAAAGAATGAACTAAATACAAAATACTTGTAATTTGTTTGTTTTTCCACAATATCGGTTCATAAATTGCCTTCCAAACAGAAGTCTGCATGTGAGAGCACTCAACAACCAAAGAACTTGTACAGTACAATAGAAGTACTATTGTACTAGAGTACTTTACAGAAGTTTCTGTATTGTTGAGTCATGGATGCAGGGTACCTCCTCTGTGGTGAAGCTTTGTCGTCCTTCCTGTGTCATGCTATCAGTTTTCTGACTGCAGGGCTTGATGTTGGTGGTGACATTAATCACAATAGAAGTTGGGGGGTGCAGTTCACTCTCACGGCTCACCGAGCTTTGGCCTCTGGGTCAAGTAGAAGTGCAAATGGATAACAGCACAGAGGAAATGATACAACGGCTTTCCGAGCCAGCGTTCACAGAGCTTACCTCGTCGATTCTTCAGTTGAAGCCGTCTCTGATGGGATGCCTGGCTGCGTGGTTGTGTTCTCTGTGTGGCCAGACACAGATTCGTACTCGAGGTTCGCTGCAGACAGAAGCCCCTCCGGTTTGGTGCAGTCCTCCTCAGGAACCTGCTCTGAGCATTGTAACAAGTGTTCAGGAACCAGGTTGAGTAAAACTAAAAGAACAGACATAGAAGTGGCCGCAGTGTTGAAGTGGTTAAACTCACTGAACCTCTCAGCAGTCAGGAGGACGATCCAAAGCAGCAGAGAAATGAGAAAAACCAAGGATGCTACTGCAGCGCCAATCAGGACCACAGAAAGATTTTCATCTTTTACTTCTGGAAAAAACAGAAACAAAGCCAGTCATTTTCAATTTATTTCAATAACCAGGAAAATCCCATAGGGATCACAGATTTATTTTGCAAGGGAGGCCTGAAGGCAGCCTAACATGCATGTTTTTGGTCTGTGGGAGAAAACCCATGCAAGCTCGAGAAGAACATGCAAACTCCACACAGCAAGACCCCAGGTCCAACCAGGGACTGAACCCAGGACCTTCTTGCTGTGAGGCAACAGTGCTAACCACTGAGCCATCGTGCTGCCATTATAATAGTAGATTACAGGTTTACTCGCCTTTCTCTGGAGAATCTTTGATGCTTCGTTCAGGCAACGAGACAACGCTCTCTGTCAGATAAAAATACAAATAAATCAGACGAAAGTTCTAGAAACGTTTACTCAGATTTAATCTGGAATCGTACGTGTTTTGGAGCTTTTAGATGCGAAGAGCAGACACTCTTTGTGAGCTGTGTCATGGAGGCTACAAGGCACGCAGAGCAGCTCCACCTCCCCCGTCATGCTCCTCAGTTCATAAAATCTGCACACGCAACACACGTGTTAAAACATAACACACGTGAGCGTGTTCATTCCTGCTCTGTGGCTGTAACTGACCCCGGCAGGCACTGTCCACACAGCCGGTCTCTGGTGGGAGAACACTCGGCCTCCACCGGGCGGTTCAGCAGGTTGCACTGGGTGCACCTCCTGCAGGGGGCCACTCCTGTTTCTGTGCTGAACGTGCCTTTTTCACAACCAACGCACACCCCGTCACCGCCATACCCAAAGCCACAGTCCTGAAAATAACGTGCAGATTTAAAGCCTCAACCAACGGGGGGGACAAATAAAGAAGAAAAGAAAGAAGTGTTACCTCCGACAGCTGTTCTCCAGGCTCGCACACAGCACATGCAACACACGTGCCGTTAGGGTGTAGAAACTCGGTCAGATCACACCTGGGCTCAGACCGCACCTGTGCACAGAGACACTGAACAAACACGAGACAGGACGTCAGAGCCTTCAGAAGAAAGCTAAATGATTTAGTTTCAAATATTCCTTTAAAGATGTCATTTTGGTTTTATTATTGTTAAAATATTTAACTCTTTTATTACTTAAAAAAAGTTTTATTATTTAAAGCTGGCTGCAACAAACGCTCAACAAACACATGAACAAACAACTCTTAGAAAATACACACGACTTGTATTTTTTTTTTATTTTTTTTTTTATTCTTTCGGCTGCTCCCTTCCTCAGGGGTCACCACAGCGAACTAATAACTCCCACGAAAACTTGACAATTGTTTTTACGCCGGATGCCGGTCCTGACACAACAACAGACCACCGAGCTTCCACCGCCCTCCATGTGGAGCAGAGAGCTGCCGTCTAGGAAGCCTGGGGGAGCAGAAGGTGGGGGTTAGGGGCCTTGCTCAAGGGCCCAGATTGGGGCAAATGAAGGTGGAGGCAGAGGTGGGTGCTTCACCTTTCCCACCCACATTGTTTTTTTATGTTGTCGGTTCAGGGAGTTGAACCGGCGACCTTTCGATCACAGGCTTATCGTCTCTAACCTCTGCACCACTATTCACACAACTTGTATTGTTGACCATAAAACACCAAATCAAAAGATTATATTATTTTATCATTTAGTGGTGGGCTTGTGATCAGAAGATCAGAAGGCTTGTGATCAGAACATCAAAATGTGGGTGAGATTGGTGAAGCACCCACCTCTGCCTCCACCCTCATTTATACCACTCTGGGCCCTTGAGCAAGGCCCTTAACCCCCACCATCTGCTCCCCTGGGAGCCCCAGCTGGCAGCTCTCAGAGGGTTGTGGTAGCTCAGTGGTCTGTGATTGCATCAGGAAGGACATCCAGCATAAAAACAATTATACATATATATATATATATATATATATACATACATACATACATACATTTTGGACCTAAATGAGCTAAACATGAGATGTTCCTTTTCAAGGATTCAAGATGTCTTTATTGTCATTCACATCACGTGGTACATGAGGTGGAACAAAACT